TTTTTTTTTTTTTTTTTTTTTTTTTTTTTTTTGCTATTTAGGCCAATTACAGAAACATTTACACTGCTTTTAAACTTTTAGTTTTGGTGGGTGGTGGGGGAGGGGATAATCCAGACTTTCCCCCCAAAGTTGCAAAACTAACAGTTTCTATATACCCTTCACTCCTCTTCTCCAAATATAATATCACACATCATTACAGGATGATTGCTAAAACAAAAAGTGTTGTTAAAATACTATTAACCAATACTACTAACCAATCTAGACACTTCTATTTACCCTTTCTCCCACTATTTTTTTTTCTTTTGGTTCAGTATCCAATCTTAAGATTATATAGTGTGTTTAGATTTCATGTCTTTGCAATCATCTTTAATCTGGAACAGTTCCTCACTTTCTTTATCTCACGTGACCTGTACACTTTTTTACATTCACTGGCCAGTTGTTTTGTAAAATGACATTCAGTTTTTCTTTTCTTTTTTTTTTTCTTTTGTTGTTGTTGTTTTTTCATGTTCCCTTGTGATTGAATTCAATTTATACATTTTGGCAAAAAGGCTACAGAATAACCTTGGAACATCATATCAACAGGAACATGACATTGATATGTCATATTATTGATGATATTAACTTTGATTACTTGGTTAAAATGGTGCCTGCCTGATTTTACAGCTCTAACATTACTGTTTTTTCCTATTTCACTTAATAAATACTCTTTGGGAAGGAATTTTGAGACTATGTAAACATCTTGTTTCTCATATAGTCTCCTAAATCGTCAGTCTCCCATTAATAATTTCAGATAATAACAGTTGTTATTGTGAAATTTTCAAATGGCAACTTTTATTTTCATCATTTCTTTTACATATATCAGTTGAAATTCACTAGAAGAATCTCCCTTTGATTGGTATGAATGCATATATGTTTTCTTCTCTGAGTTAGATCCATGATTATCACTATTCATCTTGTTTAAGTTTTCCCAGATTAGGCAGTTAGAAACTACTTTAAATTGGCTTCTGTGTTCTTTTGATATGGATGGTAGTTTTTGAAGAGAAGGAAAAAGGGAGCTCATACTTAGGAAGGACAGTAATTGAGGCAGGGTGAGTGGCATAAGTGAGGAAGTGAGGGAGAAAAAAAGCAAGTCTTTGTGCCACAAAGGGTGTGGGTGCTGTAGAACTGGTACCAGTGAAGATCATCTCCACATGCCGTCCCAGCAGTATTAATAATAGCCTTTGCTCACCATTGGTCTTTTGGTCTTGATTTCGTCTTCATATTCCTTGGTTTTTCTTATTCCTCATGTCAGAATTGTGGTTATTTTCATTTTGTCCCTACTATGTTTCCTCCATCTTATTGCTTATCTGCTTCCTCTGCTCCTAGTTATCTTTCTTAGTCTCCTCTGTTATCTCCTGATTGACTTATCCTGTATGTTAGTAATATGGCATTTTTCTTACATAGAACTATATCTTCCATTTTCTTTCAGTTTTCATTTAGGCATACCTTTTATAACTAGGTACATTTCCTAATTTGACCCACACAGGTTTTCTTATTCTTTGTGTCATCACTCAATGTGATAACCTTTTCATTTCCCATCTGTATTTTGTAGAGTCTAGAGTGCTTTTTAGGCTGCAAAAAGTGATTGATGTTGTCTGTCTTTATATTCTCTCTGTCTCTCTCAAGGTCTCTAGTGCATCATCAGATAGCCTATTGAACTGAACTCAGAAATATCAGCATTCTTTACTCGTATTTGTTTCTCTGTGTTTTGAGACTGTATCTTGTATCAACTATAGAAAGCTTATAAGAGTTTCTTCTAGTTCACTTGACTTACTGTGAAGAAAAAAAAATGTTGTTGATATTTATTTCATTTATTTTTAAAATTATAGCGAGGACTAAATAGCTCCAGCCCTACCCTCTTTAATAGCAACAATTTCAGTGCTTTAATTTTTTCTGCCCAGAATCCTTAAGTCTCTTGAACTAGAAAATCAAAATAAATGACAAGTTCATAGTATTGCTGTCAACTTAATATACTTTGAAGAGGTTATAACTTGCCTATATTTTACCAATATAGATTTGTAAAATAATGAAAATTGATTTTAGTCAGTGTTTGCATGCCCATATTTATTCCATGCATTTCATGTTTTTGCTTTTCAGTGATGGGGCCAATGAACAGAACCAAATTTCTTGTTTCTAGTCTAATACCACCTTTCTTAAGGAGGAGACATTTACATCATGTGTCTTTACTGTGCCCACACAAAATGTAATTAATATCTATGTGTATACATCTCATTGTTTGGTCTTTTGGCAAGAATACTTGGCTTTTGAAAAATAATGGAGCTATACTATTTGTAATATGGATGTCCCTTGAATATTGTCTTTTACCAGTCACAAAAGGACTATGCATAAATATTAGTCAAAGAGAAAAATATTACTTTTATTATCAAGATAGGTGTAATTTTAATTGTCATGCTTTTATTAAATGTTACTTTGAATTTGCATTTTAAAACAACTAATACTGGTATTTACCTGTCTAAATTTTAAATATATTTTCACACATATTACTTATATCTCCCATTACTTCTAGATAACAAAATAACATTTTGTCATAAAATGCTAATGAAATGTATAAAAAAAATTTTGTCATTCAAGTTTTAGTAACTTGGCACAGTCAAGAGTGTACTTAAAATATTGACTAAATTGGCACTTAAATGGAAGTACAATCCTCCTTTTTCTCACCAAATTCTCACTTTACCTATTTTAGTAATAGCTCTAAAGAAAGCCAGTCTCCATTTCTTCCATGAAGTAGGAAACCACAAAGAAAATAACGTTATAGCTTAATGATTATTCAGTTGATTTTTGTCTAGATGTTAAATCTGTTCTCACTTAACTTAAAACCCTTGTGGGGATTTTTGTCTGTTTGTTCTTTTAGGGTAACGCAGACTTATGATGCAGGTGCATGTATCTACTTCTATTTTGCCTTTAACTACAGGGGAATTAGTGACCCACTGACCGTGTTTGAACAAACTGAGGTAATTTTGTATACATGCATATACACAATAGCTTTCACATTCTTTTAGTAATTTGAATAAATTTTGGTATCAGTTTGTGAATTTTAGTTTGACTCTGTTTAATTACAGCTGGTATGCCTGGCTGCTAGCCTGTAGAAATGAAAAATGTATTTGTTGCACTGGTTTGTGTACTAAATTCTAAGTCTAAAATTATTGTTCTGTATAGCTATCACCTGAGATTATTTGATTGTTATTTATAGTACATGATAGTTGATGAAATTAAATAACAATAAGAATCTTTGCCAACTCTTTGGCAGCCTATCCATCTCTATGTGGGAATTGCTATTAGGTCATGCTCTGGTCTGTGTTGTGCTAATATTATTCTAGGCTTATAAATTCTTTGTGTATTGAAAATGTATGTAAGCTATTTCTTATATGTCCTTAAGCTGCTAATTTGTTATATATGACAACAGGGTGCATTACAATTCATATTACACATATAGAGCACAACTTTTCATATTTACAGTTGTATACAAAGTAGAGTCATCCTTCTTGTTTTCATATATGTACAAAGGGTAATGATGACCATCGCATTCCACTGTCTTTCCTACTCTTATACCCCCTCCCTTTTCCTCCCTTCCCTTTTCCCCTTTGCCCTATCTAGAGTTCATTTAATCCTTCCACCCCCTACCCCTAGCAGCATATTATGGATCAGCATCCTTAAATCAGAGAAATCATTCGGCATTTGGTTTTTTGGGATTGGCGAACTTCACTTAACAGTATATTCTCCAGCTCCATCCATTTACCTGCAAATGCCATGATTTTATTCTCTTTTAATGCTGAATAATATTCAGTTGTGTATATATACCAAATTTTCTTTATCCACTCATCTGCACACACATGTCAAATAGAGCACTAATCTCTAGAATATATAAAGAACTCAAAAATCTTAACACCAGAAAAACAAATAACCCAATCAATAAATGGGCCAAGGAACTGAACAGACACTTCTCAGAAGAAGATATATAATCAATCAACAAATATATGAAAAATGTTCAACATCTTTAGCATTTAGAGAAATGCAAATCAAAACTGTCTCACTCCAGTTAGAATGGTAGCTATTAAGAATACAAACAACAATAAGTGTTGGCGAGGATGTGGGGGAAAAGGCACACTCATACATTGCTGGTAGGACTGCAAATTGGTGCAGCCAATTTGGAGAATCCTTGGAAAAGTGGGAATGGAACCACCATTTGACCTAGCTCCTCAGGTCTATACCCAAAGGACTTAAAAACAGCATACTACAGGGACATAGCCACATCAATGTTTATAGCAGCACAATTCACAATAGTTAAGCTGCTAGGTTTTTTTAATTATTATTTTTTTAGTTGTAGTTGGACACAGTACCTTTATTTTATTTATTTATTTTTATATGGTGCTGAGGATCAAACCCAGGGCCTGACATGTGCTAGGCGAGCACTCTACCGCTGAGCCACAACTCCAGCCCAGAGCTGCTAGTTTTTATAAAACCTTTTGTTGATGGCCAGTATTTCTCAAAACAAGTTTGTGTAGAGTTAAAGAAACAAATGGAACTATGGAGGACTCTGTAGGAAACAGTTTTCTTAAAAACTCAGGTGCCCCAGTATTTGAATTCCATTGTGTGCCAGTCCATAATTTCAGTGGTGCCACACATGTACATGTGTTTAGATCTGAACTATAGACATGATTTGGTGGGCTCTTCCCTACCCCTCTTCCTTTTTTTTTGTTAACAACTTTTTGAAATATAATTAAAATAACAGTACACTGTACATTTTAAAGTATACAACCTGATGTTTTGATGTAAGTATGTAGTACTGTCATAATCAAAATAATGAATATATTTATCAGCCCTTAAAAGTTTGAGTGTATTAGCCCCTTAGCTTTTCAGTGCTTTGGTGGTATTTGCTGGCTACCAAAGGTTCTTTCCCTGCAGTAGCACAAGTGAAGTTGTTTCCTTTTCCTAGTTTAAGCTGCCATTTGCTAAGTGCTACTGATCTCAAGGAATTATTGCCTTATTGAAGTAATTTGTTAGAAATGATAAGTTCTAAGAGCAGGACTAGCATAGTTGTGATTCTTTTGGAGAACCCTAAATCCTAAATAATGAGGTTCTTCTAGATTACATTGCAATGGGATGTGGTCCATTTCTTTGTCCTACCAGGGCCCTCTTCTACCTGCCTCCTCATGGTTTATGTGCACTTGAGAAAGTCTTAGACATTCAGGGCACTGTAGATACCTCATGACTATTACATATTCATGAATCATTAAGAATCAAAGGTAATTCCACTTTCTATTACCCTTTTTTACTCTGCACTTCAGTCTGTATTTTGTTATAAGTGTTTATCTTTTTAATCTGAGGGCTCCATAAGGAAGTTAATCAGTATGTAGTGTGTCAGGAGGGTTACAACAAGGAAAAAAAAAAAAAGCAAGGTTTTTTCTTCCACACCCTGTAGAACTGATAGGTAATTTGTCTCATGTCATTGACCTAAGAAGTGTTCTCCATAAAGATTTTTTAAAATATTTTTGTAGTTGTTGATAGGCCTTTATTTATTTATTTATATGAGGTGCTGAGAGTTGAACCCAGTGCCTCAGACATGCTAGGCAAGCACTTTACCACAGCCCCAGCCCCGGAAGAATTTTTATGGTTGATCCCCAATAGCTTTGTGGGTGATTTTTTTTTCCCCCCTCTGGTGCTCATTGTGTGGTATTAGATAAGTAATTTAACCTAGTTAAGCCTGATTTTTGTATCTGTGAAATGAGAGTAATTGTAATCATTCCTTAAGACTACAGTGAAAAAAAAGAGATACTATAGGCAAATTGCTTGGTACCTTTCTGGACATACAGTAGTAGTCATTTGATATTAGTTACTGCTGTTTGTTGGCATAAGCTATTTACTCAAAGTAAAACCTGACTCCACATTTATAACTTTTTACCTGTTCACAATTTAGTGTTGAGGTGGTTATTTTGCCTTTACTCCTCTAGAATCTCAAAGTAATCTTTGTAGATAATATGACTATTCACTAGGAAAAAAATTATAAAGCTAACCCACAAAGTTTAATTGCTTTTTAAATGAAATTAACCTGTGAGGTAGGAAAATTAGGCTTCTGTTTTATTATTTAACACAAGAAGTATGCATCTCCTTTGGGAGTTGGGTTTTACTCTTTAATTCCAAAGTGAAATCTAAGTAGCAGTGATTGGTTGTTTTGTTTCCAAATACAGGCAGCTGCTAGAGAAGAGATCCTTGCAAATGGAGGGAGCCTGTCACATCACCATGGAGGTATTCTTTTTTGGGAGCAAAATTTTTAGTATTCTTACTTTTAAAAATACTTGGTCTGATAAAATCCTGGGAAGAGTCATGATGTGAGTAATTTGAAAATGCTTGATATTTCTTAGATGCTTTTATATTTTAGGATGACGGTGACTGAAGTAGGTAGTTAGGTTGTGATTGTTACCAATAGAAGCTTATTTGACAAGGCTGCCTCTGTCTGGAACCTAGCCAGCATTCTGGGTTCTCAGGGGTCTCATGTTACCAGAGAGTAGCCCAGCTTGCCTGGGAGATAATTGATCATTACTGCAAAACAATACCATTCATGAATGATTTTCAGCCACTGTTGGAATATAGGTGGACATCAGTCATACATATATTGAAGAGCTATTTGTTCTACCTACACAAACCAGCAAATTGACATATGAAAAAAATTTTTTCAAGATTTTAATGCTGCTTTATTATTACTTGGTAGTCATTTTGATATAAGTATCAAGTTTTGTTGTAGAATTTATTGTATCACCAATCAACATGATGGTGATACATCTACCTTCAAAAGCTTTGGAAAATAATATGAGGCAATCTTTTAAAAAAAGTTAAAGAATAGCCATTCATTCTGTCATTAAAAATCTTAATTTTTGAGATTATTTACCAGTTCTGTAGCAAAAATTTGTTCTTAAAATAAATCCCTGCATACAATTTAATGCTTAGAAAAATAGAAATGTGTAGATTTTTAAATTTTAAATAAATTTTAATGAGATCATGAAGACAAATAACCACTCAGTTTAAAATGTAAATCCTCGCCTGCCTTGGATTCTCCATATCCTTCTTCCCCTATTTATTTTCATTCATAGCACTTACTATCTAATATGCTGAGTGTTGGTGCTTTTTAAAAATATTTTTCTCTGCCTACTGGGACATTAGGGTCCTTGAGGACATGGATTTTGTTTTTTGTGTTGCTATATATCAGTACCTGAACTACTTAGCCCACTCAGTCCCTACGTTTGTGTAGAATGGATGAAAGAATTTGGTGGGAAAAGGAGTCGACTATAAAAGGCCTCTGAGCATATAACATTTTTGCAGTCAAGCCTGGAGAAGATTGCTAATGTAGATGAATGAAACAGAAAGAGTTCCTAGTCTCATTATATCATTTTAATCATTTGCTGTCACCTCACTTTTTTCTTAACCCCCACAAATAAAATTTTAACTTAGTTGTCTGGTAACTATTAAAGTGAATGAATTTGCCCTTTCCCTTCTTTTTCTTCTCATTATCCCCCCCCCCCCTTTGCTGGAGATTCTAATGAATATTAGAATTACAAAAATGAAAGGAGGAAAATGCATATTAGAAGTCTCTCAAGTAGAATTAAAAGCTTCTGATTAACAGTATAAACTTAACTGGAGAATATCATGCTAAGCGAAATAATCCAGTCCTAAAAAAACCACAGGCTGAATGAATGTTCTCTGTGATATGTGGATGCTAACCCATAACAAGGGAGGTTAGAGAGGGGAGGTATAGAAGTTCATTGGATTAGACAAAGGGGAAAGACGGAGTGGGGATGAGAATAGGAAAGACGGTAGAATGAATTGGACATAACTTTCCTGTACTCTTGTATGAATACATGACCAGTTTATCTCCACATCATGTACAACCACAACAGTGGGATCCTAATTAGAACAAGTTATACTCCATTTTTGTATAATATGTCAATATTATACTATTATCCTGTGTATCTAAAAACAACAAATTTCTTTTTAAAAAAGAAAACACCTAATCTTCAAAATTTAAAGGAGAGATATTTCAAAAATAAATTTAAATTTTTTTTTAGCTTCTTTTAAATGTTCTGAAGACCACATAAATTATTTCAAGTCTTTTTCAATTCTATTTCAGGATGACATTCTATTAATAAGTAAAGAACTTTTTAAAACAGATAATATTATGGAGTATTCATATTTTCTTTTATCTGAATTGATTGCATCAGTGAAGGAGGCAGAATAATTTAGACATATTACTTATTTGAAGAAAAATTAAAATGTCCTTTCAGAAACCAACAATGTTGCACATGCCAGCAATCAATAGTGTACCTTTTACTTTCTGTTACCAGAGAGTAGCCCAGCCTATCTGGGCAGTGTAGGCTCTGTATTTATAATAGTAAATGTAAGAGAGAGAGAATTCTGGAAAAGGATCAGAGTGGCTGAATTGTATAAGGAAGAAACAGAAGCTTGTCATTTAGATAAGTGGTTATTAGATGAGCTGTTTCCTTAATTGTGGGATAATATTCTTAGCTCACTCAAGCTTTACAGCGTCAGAAATTCTGTGGAAGTTGGAAATGAGCAAGTGACCTGAAACATTTCAGAGGAAAGCCAAATGCACAGTTTTTTCCTCAGCTCTTTATCTCTTTAAGATCTATTAAGATAGTCAAGTCCCTCCAGCAGTGGCAAAAGTGTAATATGCCAGAAGTACTGATGTTACTGTTTTAGGTACACCTCAGACACTGAGAGCTTCTTGCTTGGCTTTAACAGAACCTACATAAATATACTCAAAGTAATATATCTATAAAGCTGACGCTACAGAAAAAAAGTAATTTGCAAATTTAAAATAATACAGTTAAACAGCTGTAGTATAAATTTACTTAAAACTGGGATTTTATTTATGAAACCTGTGCAAATATTAATATAATTAATATATAATAACTTCTATGTGTGTTAATATAATAAGTATATTAATATTAACACACATAGAAGTTAAGGAGAAAGTTAATAAGAAAATAATAGTTGGAAAAATGTAAACCTTAATCTGCAGTGTCATGATTATTCAGTCCTTGGTCCTAAAGCAAAAATGTAAATAGTTTCTGTCAGTTTCTGTCTCTACCCCTCCCCATCCCACCCTCAGGATTGAACCCAGTGATATTTGTACCTTTGATTTTTGCCAAAAGGGCAAAAAGCAGTGCTGTGGTATTTTTGATACAAACTATGCTTTTAATGCCTTTTAATGTCTTATAATCTGTTTTCCATATTATAAATGTGTCTCATCTGCTAACAAAGGAATGAAACACCCTTCCTTGAGGGTCTGTGTAGTTCATTAGAGTAAAATATTACAATGTTTCAAAAGTCATTGATCAGAATTGGTGGGATTGTGATATCATTACCACTTTAAGACACTTTTTCTTTGAAAAGCATTTAAAAAGTGACTTTTTAAATAAGCATGTAAATGCTATAGATGCTGAAACAGTGAAGCAAAGGGAGGAAAGAATGAAAGAAAATGATTAACATTTATAAAGCTCTAAAAGTTTGTTGTGGGGGGGGGGTCTCTGTGTGACTTAATCTCTTTTTATCCTGCTCCCAATGCTGTGGAGTGGGCATTATTCCTATCTTTCAAACGAAGATACGCAGGCTCTTGATGTGTAGTAGTGGCCCCCACATAAGCAACTGTTAGTATTTGAATTTGAACTCACATCCTTCTGCTTCAGTATCCCTGTCCTCTTACTTAACAGCAAAAATATCTGAAATGGTTACAATCTAAAAAGATTGAAATTGACATCCTTTGAAAAGAGATACATAATTAGTTTTAGAAATACATATGAGACTACTCTTTTTAAAAAAACACAAAACTTTCTTTAATTTTGACATTAATTACCCACCTTACTTTAGATGAAACAGATGAGCAGAAATGATTCAGAATGTTAATTTCCTACTCATAGATATTTTCAGTTTTCTCAGTTCTTGCCCATAAATCAGTTTCACTTTCTAGTTGTCTTTATACTTCCTGACTATAGGTATCTAACATGTCAGCAATGTCAGGTAGTTAAACAAATGTAGGTCAGATTATGTTAAAATAAAACTACTTGTATAACTATCTAACATGTCAGGTTTTATATTTAGAGGCCTTTATTTATTAAGGACTCCAATTTTAGTGAAATAATTTACTTTTAGAAATTATTGGCTTTAAGTTGAATGGACCTTAGTTTATTGAGAGGTTCTGCCACATTTAAAATATAATTTTTAAAATTTCTATCCTATTTCTCATATTTTTATTTTCTATGTAGTCAAAGATATGACTGCTTAGAAACAAATTTCAAACAACCTGGATTTCTCTAATTCTTTAAAAAAGGAACCATAAAAGCCTGAATACAAAATAGACTTCAGATGAAGATGCTTTTCCCCTTTTCAAACTGTTAAACATTAAGAGTGTTTCAGGGCTTAGCCCTCAGCTTTCATTCTACTGTGTTCACTCCCTCTGTGATTATCTACCTCAATCCCACAGCTTAAAAGAGCATCTGTAATCTGATGACTAGAGTCATCAGGTACCTAGAGGTACCTGAAAAGATCACCTCCTTCTTCCACTCTGTCTTCTGCACTACTGCAGGGGCCTCCTAACTGATCTGCCTCTTCCATTCTGTTTCTGTGTTCTCATTTTTTTTTTTCACTGCCAGAGCAATCTTGTCAGAAATCTGTGGTTTCTCCTTACATTGAAATGAAACCCAAGCTCCTTAGCAGGGTCTTCGAAGATGTAAACAGTGTATCTGTCCATCTCTCTGTCCATGTTTCTGATTACTTTTTCTCCTCTGGCAATGTTGGCCTTCTTGGTGTTCCTCAGACATACCAGTAATCTTTTTTTCCTCTTCAAGTCCTATAATATTTGTTCCTTTAATTTCTAATGTTCTTTCTCTTGTTCTTCCCTTAGATATGTGTATGGCTCTGTTTCCTTCACTTAGGTCTCCAGAAGAAATATCACCTTCTTAGAGGTATCTTCCTTGGCCTCTTCTGTAGTTTCAATTCAGTGAGATTACTGACTTTTTTTTTTATTTGTCACTATGTTCCCCAGTCCCTAGAACAGTGACTGACTGCTGTACTTAGTTGTGTAGTAGATATGAACATGTTAAGTGAATGGATAGGTGTATGCCTAAGAGCTTGCAAAATTTAGAGCAGTTTTACAAATTCTCACACAAGTCTAAATGTTTCATATTAGAAAGGCAATAGTCTCATTGCTAATTTAGCTTTAAACATTTAATAAA